ATGAAGGAATTGGGCAATCTCATAGTGATGCAAACGATGTAGTTTTCTATGAAGGCATTAGCAAAGAGTCGCAGGCATTCAGAATTAATTTCAATAATGAGCTAGGATTTCAAATCTAAATATTCGGTTTCTGCACTGCAAATTCATCACCAGAATCCACTGTATTACTCATCACCTTTTGCAGCCTTAAACAATAGTAACAGATTTTTAAAAAAATATATACAAAAAAAAGAAAAAAAGAAAGCAACACAATCGAGCACAGCTAACAATATGCTTAAGCTCAGGTAGAATCCTGGTATCTAGAAACTACTAAAAGCCAAGACTTTTGTTTTGTGCTATCGTATATTCAAGGAATGTTCCTGTAAGTCAGAGGACAGTCTCAGGTCATGGGGCAGATGTTGAGCTCTGAGCTGCTGAGGAGCTGCACAGCTCTAGTGGAGGCTGTAGACTTTGGCTGTTTGTTTAGTAGTCTTTTTTCTGACTGTCTTTTTTGCCTCAGATAGAACTATATCCATCTGAACCAAAAACCTAGTCTCTGGTTACTAAGTTTGCATTACAGTGTGTCAGTCTTTTTAGAAGAGTTTTTCAGTTATGAAAGTATGTCTCATCAATTCCAAAGGACTACAAGACTGCATGGATCAGGTGGAAGTATTGCTGTAGAGCAATATTCTTCAGTGGCACTTCCGACAGATGTTGGCTCTCAAGCCAGGAAGCAGGGAATAAAGTTGTTCAGACTAGTACATCTAGAACTTTGTATGCCTGTGAGAGCTTTTTGGCTCTTCCTTGCATATAGATATTAGGTTTGATGTTAACCATTTGGCTCATTAATAACTGATTTACAGTTCCCAGGCAGCAAACTGCTACCTGACATAATTTTATAGAAGAGTTTCATATTGTGAAATTATCTCGTACAGTGACTCCTTTGTGATTGTAACTTAAGGAGCTTGTGATTAACATTTCAATATAATCATTGGAGTCTCCTGAGATGCTTAAGAGAATGCAGTTCTGATTTCCTGTGTCTTAGAGCTCATTGCAGTGGATGCATTGAGATGTCATTAGTGGGGCTTTGCTTCAAAAATTAGGTGAAATAGAAAGTCCCTCAAATCAAGAAGAGAAGCTGAAAGATCATCTCAGCTAAAGGATGAGGAATAACCTAATAGACAGTGTTGTCTCAGGTTAGTTCCTGTGAGCCAAATCATTTGTGCAAAGACATGTATGGAAAGGGTAAGGGAAAAGCAGGTGTAATGATCCATTTTGTCACCTGAAAAATCGTATTTGCTCATATAGTCATAGAATCACAAGGTTGGAAATGACCAGTTAGATCATCTAGACCATCCTCCCATCACCACTGCTACCACAAGCACTAAACCAAATGTCACAGCTCCTCATCCAGGCACCTCTTGAACACTGCCAGGGACGGCGCCTCCACCACCTCCCTGGGCAGCCATTGCAGTGCCTGACCACTCTGAGAGAAAAAGTTTTCCTTATATCTAATCTAAATCTCCTCTGACCAGACCAGTTAGTTTGCTGCTTGCATCTGTAGCTGCTGCTAGTTGAGAGCAGTGCTCAGCCTGTCCCTGGGTTCATGGATGACCTTGCTACATGGTCTTCCTGCCAGCCCTGCTATCCATATGGACTAAGAAGGCAGTGGTATGTGAGATGCCACTAGAGGAGATGCTTCCTATGAGGATCTCTCCAGCATGCAGGTCCTAAGATCAAGCTGTGCCTTTTCAGTAATGAAGTCCTCCTCTTTGTGCTCCAAGAAATTGATCCTGGTCCCTTTTCTTTGCTAATGTAACTATGATTTTTGAGTTCAAGTTCTTCAGGAGGATGTTAAATCTTTATTTAGGTAACAAATCCCCTGTGGATGTCTTGTTCCTTCTGTGCAACAGCTATAACTATATCAAATTTTTTGAGAACAGTTCTTGTGGAAAACATCTTTTTTTTCCTTTTCTTTCCCTTTTTCCAAATAAAAAATACCTGCCATCTTTCAGTAGAAAATACCTCTCCCTAAACTTCCTTCCTTTCTTTTTCCCTTTCTTTCCTGTAGTGTCAGATGGCAACGAGACATAATGGTTTTAGGCCATAGAGCAGAGCCATGACAGTTTTCCAGGTTTCACCTCTTGAGAGAAGCTGTGTGACCCTCACTACTGTTCTGTTAAGTAGTTCTCTAGGTAATGACTATTGTAGGATCATCTTGTAGACTTGATCCTGTGATCTCAAGGGAGGTTAGGAGAAATGCTGCTCAGGTGCAGAATTATCTAAGGTCCTAACATGGATGTGGAAGGGACTGAGCTGCCCCATTCTCTTGCGTGGATTGTGGTGGAGCGCAGGATGCACCTAAAATCGCAATTACTTGAAAGGAAGTTGTAACAGGGTGGGAGTTGTCCTCTTCTCCCAGGCATCAGTGATGGAACAAGAGATAATTGCTTTAAGTCGTGCTGGGGGAGGTTCAGTTTGTCTATTAGAAAAAAATATTTCTCAGAAAGTGTGGTAATGCACTGGCACAGGCTGCCCAGGAAGGTGGGTGAGTCACTGTCCCTGGAGGTGTTCAAGGAAAGTGGAGATGTGGCACTGAGGAACATGGTTAATGGGCATGGTGGGGATGGGCTGATGGTTGGACTAGATGATCTTAGATATCTTTTCCAGCCTAAATGACTCTGTGATTCTACGATAAGCTGCCCCAGTTGTCATCTGATTGAACTAAAATGGAAAAATAGTCATTTTCATTTTGGAAGCTGGCGGCATCTACAGTGCATTATTGTATCATATTTTAATCTATTGATTACATTTGAAGATGTATGGTTACATGGTTCCAGTCAAGTTTCAAGTGTTCTGGAAATGAGCCAAGCACATAATTTTTAATTTGCACTGTCATGGTCATGTAACTTTCCAAAGTATCACTGAATTGTTCCCTTATTTTCTTTTTTGCCAAAGAGGAGACTGCTTTGCTCTCTGGAAAAATGCCTGCCTAGAAGTAGAGGACCAGATCTTTAACAAGGGCAAATTGGCAAAACCCCACTGATCGTAATGGAGCAATGCCGATCTGGCCGTTCAGGATCTGGCCCATCAGATTTTCAACTGTTTTCACCACAGGCAGAATTCAAATTGACACAGCGTGGGCTAACATGATTGAATGCAGAGCAGGCTGCCTGGTTTCCTAAATTATTTTAATAACAGAAAGAATGTAGCTGGAATGCCAGGCTAAGATCTCTACCTGGATAAGGGCCCAGATTTTATTTAATCTCCAAAAGTCTCTCTCTCTCTCTCTCTCTCAATCTTTTTTTTTTTTTTTCCTTTCTAATAAGCCCGTTGCAAAGTCATTACTTTTTCATTACAGAGATTGTCATGACAAGGTTCCCAGGAAGAAAACTCTCAGATTCTGTTCAATGCTGTGAAATTGCACAGCTTCATAGAGAAAGAATTGGCTTGAATAGCTCTTGTAGAATAAGCAAACTATGAAAACAGAGAAGGAACCTACTTCCCTCCAAAGCCCATATTAGATCAGCTACTGCATGCAAATGTCAGACATATCCATACCATACCGTAGCACATTTCTAGACACTTTGGACGGTCACCACTGCTATGACCCGCTCAAAGCTACATGGGAATGGGTATGGGTAGTGTAGTTCATGAAGGACACCTGGAGTATGTGTCCTCTCTGCTGACTGATCATGGATACCAATGCCTCATCGTGGGCTTCAGAGAGCATGGACTGAAAAGTCCGTAAGAACGGTTATACTCTGCCATAAACAAATGTGCCCATTGAAGGAGCCAAATTAAAAGCAAAATCATAATCATTTGATTTCTCCCCCTAGGAGAAAGAGTCATGTTTTTCCTCACTTGAAAGAATTTATACATTATACTTTCATCTGCCCTTGTTGTGCCTGAACAAAGCTGGCTGATTGCTCGATATCTCAGCTCTGATTTGGGAGAGTATTTTTTATTCCTTCAAGAGATTCAGAGGGTGGTAAAAGCCTCATTGTAATTCAGTAATTAGTTTGTCTCCTTTTTCTCTTGACCAGGAATGCAAGGGTATCCTTTTCTGTGAATGTCATTTTCTTTCTGGTCTCTTGTACTTTAATTTCCTAGATGTGAAAATGGAACAGAAGATGAATTAGGTATTGAAACGAGAGGATATGAATATGACTCTGTTCTCCTACAGAACTTTTTCTTTCAAAGAGAATAAACTTTTATAGTTAAGCAAAACAGAACAAAGGGTTTTGTAAATCAATTTTAATGAACAAAATGTTTTTATCCTTCCGTAACTTTATTCAGGCGAACAAACTTAGTTTAAAGAAAGTCTGAAGCTTCAGTGCACGTAGTTCCTGCACATTTTCTTTTCTCCCACCTACCGTCTCAGCAATCTGGCTTTAATTCTCTTGAGTTATTAATCTGGGCTCTGTGGTTTTGGTGGATAAATATTTTATTATGCCCAACACAGGAGTGCTTAGTATGTTACTGATACACAAATATTAAACCAGAAAGGCAATGCTCGGCACTGGGATGAAGGAGTCTTAGGTAGGATGAGCTTACCTACCTCTGCTTTCAAATACATAGAGATTAGTTTGAAAGAAATGAAATACCTGTATTTGATGAGAGAGGGGACTCATACATGGCGAAGATTTGTTCTCTTGGGGATATATGTACGTATATTTCTTAAAGGCATATTTGTATTCTTATTTGTATTATGATTGGTTTCAGGAATTTTAAAGGGTTGCTTCGTATCTAAATAAGTCTTCCATTACCGAATCATGCTGAAGCCTTGCAGGAGATGAGTGTCTTTCCTGTTGCAGCTGGGATCATTGCTGTGGAGGAACTGGGTTTTTCTTGGGGTACCCCAAAATGTTAAATGCTGCTCAGAATGACCGCAAATGTTGCAGCTTTCAGCACGTCCTAGTGATGTCTTTGCCTCCAGAAGCAACAGATGTTCATGTTTTTTTATTCCAAGGATTGTGCTGTTAGATACTCATAATTTTTCCCTTTCTCTCCTTTGGAAGGCGCTTATACATGGCACAAAGACCTGAGCAGATGATGGGAAAAGGCACCATCACTTCTTTTCTCGACCGCAAGTCCCTTGGACGCCTCAATGGATACCAATGCTTGGGTGCCAGGAGCTATGCTGCTCATCCTGAGCCCAGCTGTCCTGCTCATCCAAGGGCTTCCTTTGGCATCTTTCTTGGTAGCCAGAGAAGGGAGTACTCACAACAACACTGCTCGGTAAACACTCATTTAATGGAAAAAAATGGATAGTTTTCTTTTGTTGGAAATTTTTCATGCATTATTTTTGTTTAGGAAAACATGATATCATTCTGATGGTAAGAAAACAAACCAGCATGCCAGCTTTCTGTTACGCCTAAAATATCACCTCCTATTTTTCATTTAGGAATATAAAAGAAGAAAGTGGAGAAATAAAATAACCAAGACCCAACCCTACATCTGCTTCTTAGTTTTTGCTTCTTTTTTCTGCCTTTGGCCAGTGCTTCAAAAAAATATATAAAAGAGAGAAAGAGTGTGAAAAAAGTATGTTTTGCCCTTGCAATTTGAAAATTTAAAAGCTAAAAAAGGATAGATTTCTTTTTATCATAAGATTATTTTTTTGAGGAGAAAAATTTCTTTTAAATCAAACCCCTATTTTTCAGTGAAGACATTTGAACCAGTTTGGCTCACCGCATTTCATGGCTCTGCCTCCTCAGACCACAAATTATAGATGTCATAACAACTGTCAAAAATATAGCAGGACGTAATAAATTACACATGCACAGACAAAAATGCACTCAGTCGTATATATACACATATGCATGCGTATATGTATATATCTCTATATATGAGGGCTGCTCTGGAAGTAATGCCCTCCTCCGTTATTATATTGGTCCACGATATTGGTGGTATGGCAATAGAAGTTGAACCTTCCCACCAATACCCCATTACATTCTGTTGCCGTGGAAAAGATGGCAGCAGAGGGACAGTCTGACAGAATGGTGTTTGACATGGGATTGCATTTGAAGCAAAGGTGTGTTATTGAATTCCTCCATGCCAAAAAAAAAAGGCACCCACTGATATTCATCGACACTTGTGAATGTTTATGGAGACCAACTGCTGGATGTGAGCACAATCAGGAGTGAGTGGTGGGATTCAGCAGTGGTGACAGTAACGTGAAAGACAAGTCATGCTCCAGACAGCCATGCACATCTGTCATACCAAGAAATTAAGAGCTTATTGATTAGCTCATCCACATGAATTGGCTAACAGTAGTGACTATGTTGAAAAGCAGTGTTTTGTAGCTGAGGATTTGCTCTATCAATTACTGTTATTGTGCTCTTTGCATCTATTGCAGTTCCCTTGGAAATAAATATGAGGCATTACTTTCAGAGCAATTATATACAGTCATCTTTCTGTGCATAAACAGATGTTTGTGTATGCACAGATGTTAAGTAGACCAAGGAAGGCCAAGACCAAGTAGGCCAAGGAAGATTCTGAGAGGTCCTGCTTCAGGAGGGTCTCCTGGTCTATTAGGAAGATCCCTTTCCATGCAACATTTATCTGCGTCTCCCTCTGTTTTTACTGGTTCTATTTGATTGCAAGTAAAATCTACCCATTAGGACACTATGAGGCCTGTGTCACAAGAGAGTGGCAATACACCTGGACATCTCACTTGGAGTGAGATACAAAAGCTCAGTCCTTATCCTTTCAGATAAGAGTGAGAAACCTTCCCACCTGCCAGTACATTTCATTGGCCTAAGGGAATGAAATGTAGCAACCGTGTGTTGAAGAGAGGGTATCTGAGAAGCAAGTTCGTCCCTTTGCACTTCCTCCATGGGGCAAGAAAGGCACATCTTGTTCTCTTCTTCTCTTCCAAGCTGGCTCCCAGGGCCTAGGTGGATGAGGCAGCTTAAGGCAAGTGCATACCAGAGTGTGATGTAGAAATCTTTGGCTGAACACTGAGTGACCTGGTATACCCTCACAGCATGACTCCAGGCCAGCGGGTCTCTTGGCAAGTTTTTCTCTGTGGTGCAACTTTGAACTGATGTGTTTACCCTGCCTCCAATTTCACAGGCACTTCCATGACAGTTAGTTTTACTCTGCATTGCACAGTCTTCAATCTTGTCCTGCTATTCTGAAGCCATAGTTTAAACTGAGCCCAGCTATAATCCAAAGCACAGCTGAAAGGCTAGCTTTGAAGACAATTCCTGCATCTTCTTTTATTACTGTAGGGATGTCTTTCTCCTAAGGTAGTGTCTTCCTACATGGATTTCAAAGAGACAGATTAAGAATAAATAGATGACTCAGTGAAACACTAGAAGATTCTGCCCATTTCCAGCTTTCCATGCTGCTCCAAACTTTGCAGTAGTTCCTCTGGTTTTCAGTACAGGACTGTGTCTGCAGACCCAGTTCCCACATCTCCATCACCCCGATTAACACAAGTCCTGCAAATAACACTGGAACAGGTTTCCCACTCCAGGTCAGGCTGGACGGTGCTCTGAGCACCTGATCTAGTTGTAGGTGTCCCTGTTAATTGCAGGGGAACTGGACCAGGTGGTCTTTAAGAGTTCCTTCCAAATCAAATGATTCTATGATAACAACAGATCAAGAGTGCCTGCCTTTCAGCCAGCAGCCTTTACATCTTGATCCTCCCTTAGTACCTAGTCAAAGGGGCAATGGGCTTACAGAATGATCTGAAGGTGAATTTGACAGCCCAAAGGGAAGGAAAGGAAAAAATTCATACCTAGAATGAATTACTTCCATGTTCAGCTGAGTTTGCAGCACTGTTATTGTCCAGAAGATCCCAGTGCCAAAAAAAATCTCCCTTGGTTAATGATATTTCTGAGTTACGTTTATTTAAAACCTGTATTTTGTTGTGCAATTCTCCACTGACAGATGTGCTCACAGCATTTAGGGATCCCATACAAAGAGTATAAGCTCAGTACTTTTTATCCCTGTTAAATATCAAAGAGGGATGTGAAATGCAATCTGTTTTTAAAAGACATGCGTTGAAATCTATTTTTGTTGCTGCTAAAAATATGTATTTATTGTGTGGCTAGGAAAGAACTCCTTGGTCTGGCTGAGCAGCTGCTCGACACCATCTGTAAATGTGCTCTCAGCCTCAGGTACAAAGCGGTGGCTCAGCAACTTTGACCCTCCAGATGTCAGTCTGAACAGTGAAACTTCTCTTGGCAAGTCCGGAGTACAACTATGACATTTTCCCTTCCAGTGAATTATTTTATCTACTCAAAAAGAGTTCTTGCAGGTGAGTTGTTGGGATGACATTCTCCATGAAGAAACTGAGAAAGTCTCTCCCTAGCACACAAGACATGATACAGTGCATGTGATGCATCAGGCCCTGTAGGGAAAGGGGGTCTATTTCTGCCTTTCTGACTTCTATTATGGGGAGCTGATATCTATCCCTGGCTTCTGCCTGTCCCCCACCCTCCACAGAGCAGGTGCATCTGAACACGCAGGCATCTGGAACACCCTCATGCTTTGGAGGGGGACGCACACGGACTTCTTCTGCCAGGACATACAGCAGCTTCCTGGTTTTCCATCTACACTTTAGGAGCACCTACTTCAGGAGCACCCAGCCATGTAATGTACTGGTCCTATGAGAGTACCTTTCACCCCCCTTCCCTTAATGTATCAAAAACCCAGGGCACAGCCAGGTTCTGGCAAAGAGGCAATGTTGGTAGTTACACAAAACCACATATGACATCATTTTCTTGTTAGGTCAGTAGAGACAGTTATCATTTAATTTAAAGATACAATATTAATATTACTGTCTGACAGAGCATTTATTTTGTGGATTTCTATATAGATATATATATTCTAGGGAAAGGTATTTAGATAATCGGGTTGTAGATTCTCACAAGTCTAGCAGAGCTACTTAGATCCTTTTTCACTGAGGATGAGGTTTGAGGTTTGAGATAAATACTTGGGATTTGCTCTTTTTATCACACTTGGCTCCATTTAGTCCAGCAAAGTAAGCTGGGATAGGTAGTGCCTTAGACTAATTAAACTGGGGTTGAAACTAGATGATCATGTGGTCCTTTTCAACCCAGGCCATTCCACAATTCTACGATTCTATGAAATTCTGCACTGCTTTCCAACACAAAAAGTAGTTTTATGGGATTGGAAACCTGAGTGGCTCAGGTTAAGTAAAGAAGCCTCGTGTAAAGATAGCCTTGGTAGATCATCTCAGAGTAACTTCCTGCTCCATTCGTATTGCTTTGAGGTCAGGCAGGAAACATTGCTTTCAGTGCTGAAAATTAGTTTTTAATATTTCCCTTGAGATCTTCAATATCCATATATTTTAAGAGATTTAAAACAGATTGTTGTTTTCAATTTTACATTTTGAAGAGGATGATCTGTCTGGGAATGCCATTCGTGCAGTGACGTGGCTGGACTGTGAACCTCATAACACACAGTTTGCTCCACATTTCACTGGCAGCTCTGATGCAATACAGAGGTCAGAGGGCAAGACACATTGTATGCAAACAGGAAAATAATTTCTTCTGGGATCTGTTAATATACGGTAAGTGGTTGCACACCTTTGCAGTATTGTGTTGTCAGTGACAGCAGGGTGCTATGGCAAGCACTGTACACAGAAAAAAGTTTTTGGATAAACTGAGTCTTTCTGAGTAGGAGAGAACCGTGATGTTACCTGACTGCTCAAAGGCAGAGGAGATTGAAGAGGAAAACTGGAAAATGAGAAATATCTAAATTCAGTTCTTGTTGGATAAGACTAAGCAGTGATACGACAAGCCTGGCCAGAAGAATTAAGAAGAGATAACCAAGAACAAAAACTGTTTAGTTTTATATATGTTTTTAAATTAAGCTACTCTCATGTTCTGAGAGAGAGGGAAAAGCAAAACAAAACCTGGCTCAAGATCACCTCAAACCTCGGTGCTTCAGTCAGGCTTCTTCTCTTTGGATGTCGGGTTGATTTTTATTTTTGATAGTGTTGTCTTTCCTTCTGGATGACCCCACGTGGTGGTATTTAAAGTGGCATGGAATCACTGAGGGTGCCCACACTGCACAGCACAAGCTTGGGATGACTTGTCTCAGCATGCCCCGGATATGAGCCAGCATTTCCCCAGATTTCCCTTAGCTCTGATGTGCCACCCCTTTGGGATCCATGCATTTATGGCCTGCTGCACTCAGCACCGTGCTACAGGAACACCACTTGGGACTGGATTATGCAGGATAAATCACTGTCTCATAATGCCAGTTGGGCACCAGTTGTATCCCAGGAAGAACCCATGGCAGAGCACTCAGTGGGATGGTCATAGGCAGGTTTTGACGGAGCTGCGGTCAGTGTATGAGCCAGTCCATACCACTTCGCCTGGTGGGATGGAAAGAGGTCTCACATGCTTTAAATTTATTGCTACAGACACATCCCATCTGCGCAGTGGTGGCACAACATTCTTGTGACTCGTT